TTTTTTTTTAAAGATTTAATTAATTAAATATATTTGAGAAAGAGCACACACATGCGGTGGGGCAGAGGGAGAGAGAGAGAGGGACAAGCAGACTCCCCACTGAGCACAGAGCCTGCCGTGGGCTTGATCCCAAGACCCTAAGATCATGCATGATCTGAGCTAAAGTCAGACACTTAACTGAGCCACCCATGTGCCCCAGGGGAAACTTTTAAAAGGATACTAATTTCAAGATTACTTTTACAAAATAAGCAGTCAATGGACAGTGTCATTAATCTGGTCTTCATATGCTCAGACTGACCTCTGCCGGACAGTCTACTAACATGTTAACATTTTTTTCCCTCTTGGGCTAAGTATGGCTAGGGAGCAAGCATTTTCCCCAAGTTCTATCTGGTAGTTAGATTTATATAGTTCAATTCATGAATATTCATCAAAGCTTCCACACTACTTTTACAGGAGAATCCTGTATTGCACTTGGCCACCAGAGGCACATCATCCATGGGCAGAGTAGGACACTGATGAGGTTTATAAGATCTACCCACTCTCAACACTCCTTTTGATATGCTCTACGCTTTTATGAGCCCAGGCTCTCTAGCATGTATCTCAGAAGTACAGAAGAGTATCTGCTGCCAGGGCAGCTGGGTGGCTCAGTTGGTTAAGTGCCTGCCTTCAGCTCGGGTCGTGATCCCAGGGTCCTGGGGTTGAGCCCTATGTCAGGCTCCCTGCTCAGTGGAGAGCCTGCTTCTCCCTCTCCCTCTGCTGCTCCCCCCTGCTTGTGTTCTCTCTGTCAAATAGATAAATAAAATCTTAAAAAAAAAAAGAGTATCTGCTGCCTGGGCCCAATTTCAGGGGCTCGCTGCATAAAACCGCAGCTCCCTGCAAGTATCTTCTGGACTGACATCTCAAAGCTGGAGTCCACACTGTAGAAGTCACTTATGCTCCTAAGTAGCCAATGGAGACAAGTCTGATGTGTATGGTGCAAACCTGCTGAACTTTGAGAAAAAGTCCTGTGTTCCAATTCAAATAAAATTGCAGGTAATAAGCAAGAATGACCCTGAAAATAAATACTTTCCATTTCTAATATTCTTTTAAAATAATGTCTTTCTGATAACAAAAATTACATAATTACTTTTAAAATTTTTTAAAAGAAGGAAAAAAATAGAGGAAATAAAAATTACCTATAATTCCATCACCAAGTTATATTAAAATTTTGGTTTTGTTGTCCCCATCTTTTTTTTTCTGTGTATGTATGTGTGCAAGAGTATAGGTGTATACCCTGACCTGTAGCCATCCATTTTGTAGCTTGTCTTTTTCACTAGTATTATACTGTGATTATTCCTCCATTTACACATACTCTTTAACACAATTTTTATTTTATCAGGTCAACAGATCATAATATATGTAACCAATGTCTTATTATTAAACACTGGCATTGTTTCTAAACTATGCTGAATGGCCTTGTATATAAATATTTGACCAACTATTTTATTATGTCTATAGGCTCACTGGGTCAACAGGGCATATGAACATTTTTAAGATTCCAAATACAAGTACTGCTAGAATTACTCTCTGAAAATGTACCAACTTCAACTTCCATCATAGCATAGCAGTGTCATCCTCATTTTACCCTCACCCTCACTGAGAATTATAATTTTAAAAGTGCTTTGCCAAGTGGATAAACAAAACTACGGGTTTTCAGTCCAACATATTCACACTTATTCATGCTCCTTTATATTTATTTATACTCATTTTACTGCATTTTTTCTGTTAATTATACATTCATGCCCTTTGCTAATTTTTCTACCTGTTCATTAATATTTTTCTTATTTATAAGAGTTCTTTAAATATTAAGGCTGTTGACTCTGTTGATCTCAATGTGGTACACATAAACTAAGGTCTGCTAATCCAAAGATACCCTGGAATTATTAGTTCGGGTATGGTATGACTCCTCCTTTGGCTCAGTGAGTTCTTTCCAGAAAAACAAAACAAACAAAACCCCAATTCATAGAGTATAGAACAAGTCCACTAAATACTGGGGAGTCTAAGGTACAAAGTGATCAACAGATAAACTATGAAGTAGAAATAGCCTATGTACTCCAACTTACTGAACATACCTCTATACTGGAAAATCCTGGAGAATTTTTTCCTCAGATGTTTTTTATTATTTATTATTTATTTATTTTTTTAAGATTTTATTTATTTATTTGAGAGACAGAATGAGAGAGAGAGAGAGAGCATGAGAGGGGGGAGGGTCAGAGGAAGAAGCAGACTCCCTGCTGAGCAGGGAGCCCGATGGGGACTCTATCCCGGGACTCCAGGATCATGACCTGAGCCGAAGGCAGTTGCTTAACCAACTGAGCCACCCAGGCGCCCCCCTCAGACATTTTTTAAAAAACATGTGACTTTGGAGCACTTGGGTGGCTCAGTTGATTAAATACCCAACTCTTCATTTTAGCTCAAGTCATGATCTCAGGGTCTTGAGATCAAGCCCTGCCTGGGGCTCTGCGCTCAGAGGGGAGTCTGCTTGAGAGTCTCTCTCTCCCTCTGCCCTTCCCCCTGCTTGCCCATGTGTGCTCTCTCTTAATCTCTCTCTCAAATAAATAAGTCTTTATTTTAAAAAAATGTGATTTTGGGGCACCTAGGTGGCTCAGTCGGTTAAGTGTCTGCCTTTGGCTCAGGTCATGATCTCAGGGTCCTGGAATCGAGCACCCTGTTGGGCTCCCTGCTCATCGGGGAGTCTGCTTCTCCCTCTCCCTTTGCCCCTCCCCCTGCTTGTGCTGTCTAATAAATAAAATCTTTTTTTTTTTTAAAGATTTTATTTATGTATTTGACAGAGAGAGACATAGTGAGAGCAGGAACACAAGCAGGGGGAGTGGGAGAGGGAGAAGCAGGCTTCCTGCGGAGCAGGGAGCCTGATATGGGACTCGATCCCAGGACCCTGGGATCATGACCTGAGCTGAAGGCAGACGCTTAACGACTGAGCCACCCAGGCGCCCTAATAAATAAAATCTTTAAAAAAAATTAAATTAAAAAAATGTGACTTTAAGAATGGATTTATGTAAAAGAATACTGATGTGTGACTCAGCAGTTAGGCAGTTACAATGCTATTATTTAATAAAACCCACTTCTACCTTTCATCTGTAAATGGGTTATATCTGTGGTAGAATACTTGTAACTTTTTCTGTTTATAGTCAATTCCTTTACTATGAAATGTCATTTAGAGATTTTTTTTTATTTTTCTTTGTACAATAATTTTTAACATTTTATTAATTTTGCTGTGGAAAATAAAATTCCATCTTACAAGAAAGAGAAAACTCCTCAAGACCAAACCCTGGCATCTTTATTTATATATTAGAGCGGGTCAGCCAGTGAAAATCCTAGAAAAAGAAAAGACAACAAACATTCATTTAAAAGAATTAATTGCCTCAAACTATATCCTCACTATTTTCCTTGTTCTAAAATCTAAAAGTCCCATTATATATCCATATTTAGGTTTGTCTTTGGTCTTGTGCTCTTCCCAAAAGGAAGCTAAAAATTCATAGTGAACCTTGCTGTCTTGTCCTACAAAACAACTATGAACAGTAATCAGGGCACAAACACTAGAATCTGAAAGAACCAGAAGTAAATTCAAAAGAAGAAAGGAGATGAAGGAAGGCCAAAGAGGGCAAGCTCCCAAATCTAAGAACCTGGGTAGGAAGAGCAGCGCACAGAAGCCTTCCCCGGGACTAATACCATCCTACACATGTGGCTGGGACACGGTGACTGCAGAAAATTAGGTCCTCTCTATGTTGTAATAGGAAGCAGCCAGCCTACCCTACACTGTGAATCAACAACACATGGCAGATGGACACACAGACAATGAAAAATGAACAGCTTGGAAACTATAATATGTGCGGAATTTACTGAAATGAGGATAAATAATGTTGAAATGATAGATTCAAGAAATATATCCTTATGGAGTTATAACAGAGGAGACAAGAACTTGAATTTCTCCAGCAATACCTCCCCAAATTCATAGAGAACTTGGAGAATAGATCATTAGAAGCAGATCATTAGAAATGGGAATTCATTAGCAGAGAGGGGACAATTCATTAGGGCTTTTCTGTGACTAACAAGGTCTCAAGACTGTCTATTTTGTGTTTGTGTTCTGAATATAGCTGTTAAATCCATCTGGTCTAATGTGTCATTTAAGGCAATGTTTCCTTATTGATTTTGTGTCTGGATGATCTACCCATTGATGTAAGTGGCGTATTAAAATCTCCTATTTTAGGGGCGCCTGGGTGGCTCAGTTGGTTAAGCGGCTGCCTTCGGCAGGGTCCTGGGATCAAGCCCCACATCGGGCTCCCTGCTCATCAGAGAGCTGCTTCTCCCTTTCCCTCTGCCTGCTGCTCTGCCTATTTGTGCTCTCTATCTCTCTGTCAAATAAATAAATATCTTTAAAAAATAAATAAAGAAATAAAATCCCCTATTTTAATCCACTATTATTATAGTGTTATTTCTCCCCTTATGTCTGTTAATATTTGCTTTATATATTTAGGTGCTCCTATGTTGTGTGCATAAATATTTACAAATGTCATACCTTCTTTTTGGATTAACCCCTTAATCACTCTGCAGTGTCCTTGTCTCTTATTACAATATTTGTTTTAAAGTCTATTTTGTCTGATATAAATATAGCTATTCCAGCTTTCTTTTGGTTTCCATTTGCATGGACTATCTTTTTCCATCCCTTCACTTTCAGACTGTGTGTCCTTACATCTGAGGTGAGTCTCCTGTAGATGGCATATAGATGGGTGTTGTTTTCTTATTCATTCAGCCACTCTTGATTGGGGCATTTAGTCTATTTACAGTAAAGGAATTACAGATAAATATGTACTTATTGCCATTTTGTTAATTGTTTTCTGGCTATTTTGTAGTTCTGTTTTGTTCCTTTCACCAAAGTCTCTGATATCTGGTTTGTTTTTTTTTTTAAGATTTATTTATTTATTTGAAAGAGAGAGAGAGTACACACGAGCAGGGGGAGGGGCAGAGAGAGAGAGAGAGAAGCAGATTCCCTGCTGAGCATGTAGCCCTACACTGGGCTTGATCTCAAGACCCTCAGATCATAACCTGAGCTGAAATCAAGAGTCTGACGCTTAACCAACTGAGCCACTCAGGAGCCCCTCTGATATGTTTCTACAGAAAAAGAATTTTTGTAGAGTTTTATATATTTTATAGTTTCCAAATTAGTTAATTTACATTTAACTGATTGTCCAGGCATCCATTGGCCTACTGGTCTACTACCTTATTCAAAAAAGGAAAAGAGGGGCGCCTGGGTGGCTCAGCCGGTTAAGCATCTGCCTTCAGCTCAGGTCATGATCCCAGGGTCCTGGGATAGAGTCCCACGTTGGGCTCCCTGCTCAGTGGGCGGTCTGCATCTTCCTCTCCCTCTGCCTCTCTTCCCTGCTCGTGTTCTCTCTCTCTCTCAAATAAATAAATAAAATCTTTTAAAAAAACAAAACAAACAAAAAAGAAAAAGATCTTGCAGCATATATATGTGTAAAGAACCAAGACAGAAACATCTTGAAAAAATGATCTACTCTGCAAACAGTGACTGATACACAGGTGTAAGCATGGAAGACAGGTATAGAAGAGAGGGCAAGTGGCAGAACCAGGATGGGAGCACAAAATTTAGTATGAAAAGCAACTTAATCTGGGATGGGAGAGGATCATGCTACACATCCTGTCATTTATTTTACTGCTATAATCTACACTGTAGTTTTGCTATGGAGGCCAAAGTAACCAATTTTGAATGTAACTGCACATATCTTCCTATTATGGTCTCACCCTCCCACTGGGCTTCCTTTACCTTCTGCCTCCAGCCACTCTGGCCTTCTTTCAGTTGCTCAGACTTGCCATGCTCCTTGTTGTCAGTCTTCCCTAGCTTCTTTGCTTGAGACTGTCCCTACTTATCTTTCAGATCTCAGCTTAAGCACCAGTTCCTCTGAGAAGATTTCCCCTGGGACCCCAAAATAAATCAGCTTCCTTGGTAGTATATTTGTTCAGGACTGGGTGGCTTCCTTCAGAGGAACTGCCTCACTTTGTTGTGATGCATTCAGTTGTGAGGTGACTAGGCTGTCCTTCTCCCCTACTGGTCTCTAAGCTCCATCAGGTGAGGGCTGAGTTCAAGTTTGCTCATCATGCTATTCTTAGCAAGTAACACAACACACCTAACACATATCTCAACAAATGCTTATTGAAAAAACACAAGAAAGTGCCAAACTCAGAAATGGTTTAGAAAGAACTCAGTGAACAGAGTGTTCTATTTGCTAGATACTTCTGGGGATAGGATGGAAGATGCATTTCTGATTTCTGCTTAGCAACTGAATTTACCTGGGTCTTCCGTGCTGATTGCGGTTCAATCATGATATTGATAAGAGAAGGTTTAGTTGTGTCTGCCAAGCTCTGCTTCAGTGATTTTTGGAGTTCTTCTGGTGTTTGTACAAAATACCCTTTGCCTCCAAATGCAGTCATAACCTGCTCATAATGTGAGTTTGGTAGAAGACAGAACGGAGGAGCCCTAAAAAATTCATAAGTCAATAGAAAAAAAAAGTCATTTTCCAAAATAATTTATGGAAAAATTTAGGCTGAACTCAAAGGCATACTTTTATGTCCAACATTTAAACAAATATGCCAGTACACTAAGCTTTCCATATATATATATATTTTTAAAGATTATCTATTTTGGGGGGGTGGTGAGAGAGAGAATCCTCAAGCAGACTCCCTGCTGAACACAGAGCCTGTTGTGGGACTCAATCCCAGGACCCCGAGATCATGACCTGAGCCAAAATTAGAGTCAGATGTCCAATTGACTGAGCCACCCAGGTGCCCCTAAACTTGCCATATATTTTTTATTGTCTATATAGCAATAGGACTTTTTGTGATGATAGAAATGTTTTATATTTATATCTGTGCTACCCAATATAGTAGCCACTAGCAACCTGTTGCTGTGAGCACTTGAAATGTGACTAGTTAAAATAAGGAACTAACTTTTTAATTTAATAACCACACATGGCTACTGGCTACTATATTGAACAGTGCAAGCTATGCCATCCACTACCATGATCCCAAAATAAAAAGAAGAAAAAAGGAATGGTTATTGCAAAATATAGCAAATAACAGCAAAATGAGAACTGAAGTTAATGAAACATAAGCAAACATACTCACACCCTGCTCCACCCCAGACTGAGCAAATTCACGACTCGTAGCATGGCCAGCTAAATACTGTCTCACTTTGACTCTGCCATCAGATAATCAAGAGTTTATTAAGTAATAAAGAGAAGGAAGACCTCTGGATCATAAAGAATATGTTAACATTCGTTTCTTCCATGGTGTAATAGGAATAGAAGGACTGGGAGCATTTTGCAACAAGCCCTTTCATTAAAGCTCAGACATCAAACTTAATTGTCCAAGTCTTCAGTGGCCCCCTGATCATAAATTATTTATTGAAGCACCCTATCATGCACTGGGTGTTACATGTAAGTGATGAATCACTAAATTCTACTCCTGAAATCAATATTACACTATGTTAACTAACTAGAATTTAAATTAAAAAATGGAAAAAAAATGAAGCACCCCATTACGAATGATTGTACAAAGGGGAGTCATGCAGACAGGGTTCCTACTCTTTAGAGGGGCTGACAATATAAGTAAACAATACTCACATGACAGAAGCACATTTCAATACAGCAGACTCTTTAAGGAGAGATTAAAATAGATGAGAGAAATTAAATACACATTGTTCTGGGTTACTTACACTGCAGTAGAATCTCCAAATTTTAACATTTCCTTCCAAGAATCTGCATCAAAACCTTGGTAAATTCCATTATTATTCACCACCAAAATTATAATGGGCAAGTTGTACCTAAAATTGAAAGCAAAATATCAAGGAAATCATTCCTCATTCTAAAGCAGCTTCTTATCTTCAGGTTGAAATTTTAACTTATAAATGGATAGTTTTCCACAAGCTTGTTTTATAATATTAGGGTAATACTAAAAATTAAGTATTTGTTATCCTAATAAGGAATATCAAGTCATTAACAGAAACATGGAGTCGCAGAAAGCATGTAAGATTAGAGGTCGGCACACTTGGTTCTGCCACTATGCACCTGTGGACCTCACAGAGCTTTTCTGAACTTGGTTTTCATAGAACCAGGTATTAATAAGAATGACACCTTCCACATTTAATGTTCTCTGAAGCACCACTTCTAGGTGGTGCCTAGTAGTACTATTTGAAAAGTATCTTTCTATTTACTGAGCTCTTCATAGATAACTAGCACTTGCTAGATGCTGTGGGAAATATATAAGTGACTAGCATACATTCTCTTCTCTCAAACCACTTCGCCCAAAATTAGAAAAACATTATATGGTGTAATAAATAGAGAAAAAGAGAATATTTAATACTGTGCAAAATGGTATTATAAACAAAAAAAAAAGGATGATTACACTTTACTAATGACTGACAAAAGAACATGGGATTTATTTTCTACAGACCTAATTTCTGAGACCAGGTGTAAAAAAAAAAAAAACTAAAATGCATACTGTTACATAACAGGATTGTGGTAACTACTTGCTCTCTATGCTCAAAGGGAATCATGACTCTCTAGAAGGCCAGCTTTCCCATAAATCACCTTTCGGTGTGTATCACTTGGCTGTCAAAACAGACACTCTAACAAGTACATACTTTCCCTCTGATCTTTAAAGTGTTATATGCCAAAGCTCTGAAAGCCCCCAAAACATGATTTACAAACAAGCTCTAATAAGAGTCCTGGCTAAGAATACAGAATGATTTTACCACAGTTTAAATAACTAGGGAGAAAAAATATATACTTATATAGTAGGATCTATAGCTCATGAGTTTTTCCATGAATCCTCACAACTAGAAACAGAATCAACAGCTCACACTGAGTGAGCAGTCATCTCGAGCTTTAGCTGGATTACCTCATTTGTTCCTCGCAACTGTCCTCTAAGGTAGGAACTATTACTATTCCTCTCCCTATTTCGGAGGAGACTAAAGCTTAGTAAAGGAACTTAACCTGCATCACCCGCATCACCTGGCTCTGTTGTTGTCAAGCCAGTATTTAAATCCAGGCCATGTGACCCAGAGGCTGTACTCTTAACCACAAAGCTCTGCTGTCTCCCTGCAGAAAACAAGCTTTTCTCAGACCAGAACTGTTTGCAGGGATCTCAAAACCACTTGTCACAGTTTTGCAGGTTTGGGCATGTAGTAAAGGGTCATGAACACACTAACCTGGATGAGAAAGATGCTGGGGTTATTTCATACCAGTATTCTCAGGATGCAGCACAGAGCTATGTACAAGGGCCCTTGGCACATGGTGAACACCTGGTAAGCACTGTTAGGCGAGTGAGTCTTTATCTGTAAATTTTTATATTTTGGAGAAAGAAATGCTGTTTTACCTGCAGACGGTTTCCACCTCCATGCCAGAAAACCCAAATGCACTGTCTCCCTCCACACAGATGACACGTTGCCCTGGGTTTCTATCTTTAGCCACTATAGCAGCTGCAATGGCAAATCCCAAACCAACTCCCATTGTTCCAAAAGTACCAGCATCGAGCCTGTTGGGGAACAAAGCTAAAATGAAACCCTCTGGGGCATGCTGATGGTGGGGTTGGCACAAATCGACTCGTATTTGCGTGTAAAATAAAGAACAATAAAAACATTCTCTGTCTTTAATATAAAGTTTTTAGATTATGAGGAACCAATTAGTCAAGGATAAGCAGAATATGTGGAAAAAGTCTCTCATGATTGTTTGAAAGACTACGAATATACTAAGTATACAAATTATCACATGATCATGAAGACATATCAAGCATAAAAACTCTACCAAATCTTACCCAAGAATACTTTTATGAAATATGTCCTTATACAGTGAATATGTGTAATTCTCAAATGTTTTATGAACGTGCACTACTATAGCTTCCAATTTAACACATTATAATTTCTTTCCTGGAAGCCTCACCTGTGACGAGGAAGGTAGTTCTGAATCACAGTGCGTCCAATATCCATAGTATTTGCTCCTTCGCTTACCACAAAACAGTCTCTGGATAGTTGTTCTTGAACATGGTAGAATACTGTGTAATAATTCATAGGCAGGGATTTTGGGGAAGCTAATTCCTAAAGTATTTGAGGGAAATATAATCAAATTAGATAGAGATACAGTGAAAAATTAGCAATGTCAATAAGCTACTATCAAACTTATTTGGAAATAGGCAACAAGAACGAGCTACGAGGTTCCCAAATCACCACCCTGAGAAGCTAATGATCTGTGAACAGGCCTGTGGGACATGCTAAGAAAAAGGGGACCCACAGACCCAGTCTGGGACACAATCAAATAAATCAGGGAATAGCTTTCTTCCTGGACACCCACCACGCACATTAGCATACTAGAGTCAGACAAGTCCTACAGTAAAGATAGCTGGAAACACTGGGTTAAACAAAACTAAACAGTCTTATTTGAGCACTTTTAAAAAAACACTGCATTACAAAAAATAAAAATTTTATTCTAGAATATTTTAATCTGAAATATGCCCTTAAACTTAAAATAAAAATGAAGTCAGGATTTTAGAAAATCTGAAAATCTGGTTCTTCTCCACATGCACTGGAGAGTAAAGAGGATATGCTTCACCCAAAGAGTCTCTGAATGGAGCAAGGTAAGTGCCTTTGTCTAGCTATATGCCTTCTAGAGTGGAGAGAGAGCCACATGGGGCTTCAGCAGCAATAGTCCCATGTGCTCCCAGCACTGCCTCTTCACCTGTGCTATTCTGGCCTGTTGGAGATTATACGTAAGACAGATGAGGCACCCTCCTATACTCCTGCGCCAGGAAGAGAGGCAAGTTCCTTCCATCTTAAACTAATATGATTCCTAGGGAAAAGAAGGGATTAATCATCACACCAATCAGGAAAACAGAATTGAGCCTGGCTTGTGATAGAAACAGCCACTGATTAAAATTCCAATGAGACACAAAATTACGTATAATTAATTCTGCTAGTTTTGAAAATATGAATTTACTCCAAGATGTCTGACATGTTAGGGAACAATATGAGCATAACTCAAATTTCGTATCTGCTTATGCAGGATTCTGTCAGTGAGAAACACCACATGAACACAGAAAACTGCACCCAACTGAACCAAGATACATAGAAATACACAAAACATCGAAAAAAATCAAGAACCTTTCTCACAAAGAAAAAATTCTACCTATATACAAAGACTCTAAACAGAAATCACCACATCCCGCAGAAGTGATTCATTTCACTGCTAGTAGTAGTGGATGATGTGGTAGTTTCACATATTACTACAACTTCCAAAGTCTTTAGATATCAGGCAAAGCCATGAGTGCAGATGAGGAAGTTGCAAAATAATTTCCAGTAGTGATATAAAAGTTAATCTGAGGGGCGCCTGGGTGGCTCAGTCCTTAAGCATCTGCCTTCGGCCTGGGTCATGGTCCCGGGGTCCTGGGATCGAGCCCTGCATCGGGCTCCCTGCTCAGCGGGAAACCTGCTTCTCCCTCTCCCACTCCCCCTGCTTGTGTTCCCTCTCTCGCTGTGTCTCTTTCTGTCAAATAAATAAAAATCTTTAATTAAAAAAAAAAAAAGATACTCTGAAAGGGCCATAAATGGTCTCCACCAAAAAAAAGAAATGTGAGGTGATGGATGTGTTAATGAACTAGATGGGGGGGGAATCCTACCACAACGTATATGCATATAAAATCACCATGACGTACCTTTAAATATCTTACAATTTCATATGCCAATTATACCTCAATAAAGCTGAAATTTTTTTAACAAAGAAAAAGAAGGCTGTATATTAGATCAAATTTTCAATTTTGATGAAACACCTATCTATTATACATGCCTACTTGAAGGACTTTTATCTTAAAGGTAGAAAAATATGCTCCAAGATTTAAGATTCCAAAAGATGTCTTAATTATGATTTGGGGCCAAGGTCAAAATGAGGACAGTGAGCTCTACCCATTCATATAGGTTCTTACAACTTTCTGTCCATTGTCAGATTGGTCTCCTTCTACCACTTCACACTAATTCAACAAGTTGCAATGTGCCTACTGCCACAAGAGACTTCAGGTCTTCCTCAAGGAAAAGCACCATATTTATTGAAATATGTATTTCTTAACCACTTAACATGTATAAAACTTTGCCATCATTTTTATTTTTATTTCCTTATTGAAGATTTATTCATTTATTTTAGAGTAAGACTGTGTGCGGGCACGCATGTGTGTGCACAAGTGGGGGAGAGGGGCACAGAGAGAGCGAGAGAATCTCAAGCAGACACCCCACTGAGCACAGAGCCCAAGGGGGGCTCGATCCCAAGACCCTGAGATATGACCTTAACTGATACCAAGAGTCACACACTTGACCGACTGAGCCACCCAGGCGTCCGTCTGCCACCATTTTTATCAGGTTCCTATCTTAATGTTCCACAAAGTTTTTGAGAGCTGTGCCTCTAAACACATTTTCCCATGAGCCCTGTGGTTTTTATTGCATGATTTCATATAGCTTGGTGATTTTCGGAATACATAGGTCATATTATGACAGAGCTAACTGAGCCATGAACCAGAAGTGGTCTTGAGTTTCCGTGAGTCTCATATTACCTTGGAAGCAGCTTCATTGATCTTCATTTTTTCTCTCAAAGTTTGCCACCAGCTGCTCTCTGGAGGATACTGCCATGGTGTTTTATCAAATTGTTCTAAAAGCTAAAAAACCAGACTTTTTATTTTTTTAAAATAAACTTAAGTCATATTAACACAACAATCTCTTATTAAAGAAAATACTGCTATACTATCCTGCCATTCACATCACTCACATTATTTTTCCTCTAGGTGGCTAACAACTGATAAATAGGCAACATGGAAAGCTTCTGTTTGGGTCAGTGTGGACTTCCACCAAAAACTGGAATTTCCATAGAACACAGGGGAAATGCTACCTTCTCCACACCTCACAGGCAGGGGCTTTTATGCCCTCCTCAGCCTTTGATACTAGAAGGAAAATCATAGAATCCTTGTGGGAAGGACAACAACCCCAAATACCCAGGGATTTGGTATGCTCCAGGATGTTTTAATATGTGATTGGGGGATGCTTCATAATATTATATAATCATGATAACAATACCAATTTGTATCCAAAATCAAGTAATAATCGTGACTACATTTTATCTCCTGTTACAGTGATATATATAAATTATGTACAAATAAAAAGAATCTGGACAAGTCACTAAGTACCATTTGAAGAGTAAAAATCTCTTTATTTTCTAAGGAAATACTTAGATTTTTCCAGTACATAAAGACATTTCTTGGCTGTAAGTTCAGTTCTTCTGGAAGCTGTATTATAATTTTTCAGACAGCTGAATCCTACTTAGTAAATTAGTTTGTCTACTGAATGCCTTTAAGTCTTCAATCGCCTTCCAAAAGTGCTTAATTTACATAAAAATGATCTATATACAAGCAGTTGGATTTAGTGAGTTCCAAAGTTATATTTAAGAATAGCTTTCCATCATAAATTTTATTTAAAATAGATATCAATAAACCTGTCACCAAGTGAGTCAAGGTTGAAACATTTTTAGGAACTGACTATTCCCTAAAGACCAATCCACATAAACTAAAACCTAGGCAAAAGCTCTTACCTGTTTAGTGATAGCATTTATGTCTCCTAGCAAAGTCACAGCAGGCTTTACATTATTCCCCAATTCTTCTGCACAGATATCAACCTAAAAAAGAGATAAAGCTTAAGAATGAGCCATGCTTATTCTTAAAAATCTCGAAGAAGTCAATTAAGGCTGAATAAATGAAACGAAGATTTGATATTCAGGAAATTTTTTTTAAGTCGGCTCCACGACCAGAATGGAGCCCAATGCAGGGCTTGGAATCATGACCCTCAGATCAAGACCTGAACCAATACCAAGAGTTGGACATCCAACCAACTAAGCCACCCAGGGGCCCCAATAAATTTCTTAATAAAAGTAAAAATCCATAGAACTATGAGTATCACAGCTAGGACAGAAACCTCATCATGTTCCTTCATTTTAATATCTACTCTGTAGATCTGGGTATTGTTCTATTATACACACAGGAATGCATTTGACTTGACCAATTATAGTTTTTTAATATAATCAAGAAGGTTCTACTTAATTACACTGGAATTGCTACTTAGAACAGTTCTCAAATGTGAGCTATCAGAATCACCTGGTAGGGGCGCCTGGGTGGCTCAGTTGGTTAAGCAACTGCCTTCGGCTCAGGTCATGATCCTGGAGTCCCGGGATCAAGTCCTGCATCGGGCTCCCTGCTTGGCAGGGAGTCTGCTTCTCCCTCTGACCCTCTTCCCTCTCATGCTCTCCAACTCTCATTCTCTCTCTCTCAAATAAATAAATAAAATCTTTAAAAAAAAAAAAAAGAATCACCTGGTAGCCTTGTTAAACCACAGATTTCAAAAGTCCACTTCAGAGTTTCTGAACTCAGTAGATCTGAAGTGGGGACCAAAAATGTGCTTTTCTAACAGGTTTCCCAGGTGGTGCTATGCTGCTGGTCCAGGGACCACATTTTGAGAACTACTCCTAGGGTAAGGCATGATTATTTCCCATTTACCCAGAAGCTCCGTATCTGAATGGCCGTGAGCAAGTGAAAATAGTTGTGCAAGGAGTTGTAATTTAGCCACGTCAAAGGGGATGCATTTTATTCTATACTCAAGGGAGATAATCAAGAGGTGGTAACATCTTCCAGGTAAACCCAGGTCTTGCTTATTTGCAGCATTAGTTCTCCATAGCTACAGGGGGAAAGGACCTGTTAGAAGTTGACTCCTTAAAAAGTAAAAGGCAAATAGGGAGAAGATAGCAATTGTAGCTGGGTCATCAAACACCATACACAATCTCTGTTGGGCAAACAGGTTCACACTGCACTATATAGGCAGTACCTTCTTTTTTTTTTTTTTAAGATTTTATTTATTCATTTGAGAGAGATAGCAAGAGATAGAGCACGAGCATGGGAGAGAGGGAAAAGCAGGCTCCCACTGGGCAGGGAGCCCAATGTGGGGCTCAATCCCAGGACCCCAGGATCATGACCCAAGCTGAAGGCAGAGGCTTAACCAACTGAGCCATGCAGGCAGTACCTTCTACACCAATAAGGAAACTGGTTTAAAAAGAGAATCATAATGATACAAGAACCATTAAAGTGAGGTCAGAGTATATTCCACTCTGTTTAGTGACAAGTAGAAGCAGCATTTAGAGATTTCCAACCAAAGGGTGTTTGAAAAATTTGGCATCTAAAAGGACAACTCAATCCCTAACAATGTTGAATGTTTTGTTCTAATCTACCTTTCTACTTAAACCCCTTTTGTCTACCTTTAAATATACCTGAACTATGAAGAAGAGGCAAATTGTGCTTTTCAAACTATTTAAAACTTGGTTTTGAAAGATTTTCTGGTTAGAAGTAAAGCAGCATATTATGTTTCATGGGCTTGAAAAGGCAGCTTACTTTGGTACCTGTAATTATGTTAGATAATTTATAAAAATCTACAAAAGCCAAGAAGAAAGCAGAGCTAATAATAGCTGAGGAGAACAATAAATCACGGATAGCGCTGATTTTAAATCTCTCTGCTCTGAGTACCTGGATAAACTTCACATCTGGCTGATACCTTGGAGGCAGTCCGAAGTGCAAAATCCAATTTAATCTGGCACCAAATAATACAATTACATCAGCAAATTGCAAAGCCCTATTAAAAAGAAAAATCTGTTATGATATAAAAAGTGTATCTACATTTCTGACTTGAATTATTCTAAAATTAATTTCTAAAGTATTTAGAAAAGTTTAATCTGGAGTTTATTTTAGTCTTCAGGATCAGCTTCTAGGGTAAATTTGCTCTTTCAAACCAAAATAATTATGAAGCCATTCTATTTAAATAGTAATCTAAAAGATGAAATAAGAAGAAAAATACTATAAAACCATACCTATTTCATTACTTTTTAAAATTTTTAAAAATTTTTAAAAATTTTTTGTTTATTTTTTTAATTAACATATAATGTATTATTTGTTTCAGGGGTACAGGTCTGTGATTCATCAGTCTTACACAGTTCACAGTGTTCACCATAGCACATACCCTCCCCAAGGTCCATCACCCAGGCACTCTATCCCTCCCACCCCCCACCACTCCAGCAACCCTCAGTTTGTTTCCTGAGGTTAAGAGTCTCTTATGGTTTTGTCTCCCTCTCTGGTTTCACCTTGTTTCATTTTTCCCTCCCTTCCCCTATGATCCTCTGCCTTGTTTCTCAAATTCCACATATCAATGAGATCATATGAAACTTGTCTTTCTCTGACTGACTTATTTCGCTTAGCATAATACCCTCTAGTTCCATCCACGTTGTTGCAAACGGCAAGATTTCATTTGATGGCTCCATAATATTTCATTGTATATATATACACCACATCTTCTGTATCCATTCATCTGTCGATGGACATCTAGGCTCTTTCCATAGTTTGGCTATTGTGGACAATGCTGCTATAAACACTGGGGTGCACGTGCCCCTTCAGACCACTACATTTCTTTCTTTGGGGTAAATTCCCAGTAGTGCAATTGCTGGGAAAAATTACTACAAGTCTACTGTAGATAATCTCAGTAAAACAGAAAAAGCATAAAGAAAAAGAATTCCACCCAATAATACTATCAACTTAAAAGCTATTATTAATAGCCTGGCATATTTTCATCTAGTCTTCTTTCTATGCAAGTATATTTTTACATAGTTGAGCTTATATGCTATAATACTGTCTCATGCACTTTTGCTTATTACATTTTCCTTTGTCATTAGGTTCTTCTTAAAATTTTTATTTTTTTATTTTTATTTTTTTAAGTTTTATCTTTTTTTAAGTAATCTCTACACCCGATATGGGGCTCGAACACAACCCTGAGATCAAGAGCCCCATGCTCTCCGACTGAGCCAGCCAGGCACCCCTTAAATACAATTTTGAAAGGCTATATCCTTTGCAGAACACATATACCTAATTTATTGTAACTTTTCTCAATTACTGGATAATTTACAAATACTAGGTTGTGTGTACTTTTTTTTTAAGATTTATTCATCTGAGAGAGAGAAAAAGAGAGAGAAAGAGAGAGAGAGAGAGAGAGAGCACACATAAGCGGTGGGGAGGGCAGAGGCAGAGGGAGAAACAGACTCTCCACTGAGCAGGGAGCCCGATGTGGAGCTCGATCCCAGAACCCTGGGATCATGACCTGAACCAAAGGCAGACGCTTAACGACTGAGCCACCCAGGTGCCCCTATGCTTGAATCTTAATACATATTTCATATTGATTCCTAGAAGCAGGTATTTTTAAGACAATTGATTCATATTTCCAACCAAATTTATTGCTAATAGTTTTATTTTATATATCTTAATATCCTTGTCAATATAACTTCTAATCTTTAAGATTAATTTTTACTTTGATATCCACACTAATATTAACATAGCCATCTTTGTTTTGTTTTTGTTTACCTCATACACCTTTGCTCATTTTATGCTGTATCATTTGTTTCAGGTGTTGTTCTTATAATATATATATGTAACTGTCATTATTATTGACCCAATCAATAATGTCTCTGCCTTTCTACAGAAGAGTTTATTAATTGCTGTGGGTTTTTTTTTACTTCTCATTTTTCTGCTTCTTGGCTATTTCCCTTTTATCCTATATTTTTCCGCAGGGTATCTGTTCTTTTGCTTTTGTCTTCTTCAGTGATGATATCATACACAAAATACCATTTTCACATACTGTTATCGGTCCTGTGGGACCCAATTTAACAAACAGATAAAAACTACAATTGAAAGGATAGATCTGTTTAATGATACTTGAAATTACCGATTCAATTATTGACAGCCACTTGCAATCATTTTTACACTCTCTAGTTCTGGGAATGAATGGGCACATGTCTGGGGCTCACACCTGGGCTGTGTATGTGTGGACAGACCCAAAGGAACATAGAAAAGGCTTTGAAACTAAACTGACCCTGGACCTAATGCTTCTAGCAAGACAGACCTTGAAGTCTGACCTTAATCAGGCTAACTGCTTGCTAAAACAAAGTCAACATTCTATAGAGTATGTAAATATGACCTAGAATCTTGAAACATAATACTTAAAATCTAGGATACATTCCAAAAATACTCAATATACAAAAGAACCAGAAAAATGTGACCAATTCTCAAAAGAAATGAATAGATTCCCATTCTGTGATGACCCAGATGTTGAAATTAGTAAACAAAGACTTTAAAGCAGCTATTATAATATTCTCCATAAAGTAAACAAAAGTACTCTTCAAATAAATGGGAAGATAGAAGTTCTCAACAGAGAAATATAAAATATGAGACAAAAGCACTGAAAAGAACTAAACAGAGAACATAGCATAATGTATAGAGATATTAAATTACTATGGTGTACACCTGAAACTAACACACCATTTTATGTCAAACATACTTCAATTAAAAGATAAATAAAAGGTTTACTTAAAAACAAATAAAAATAAAAATAACATTTCATATAAGAAATTTCTAATAGGGGTGCTCGGGTGGCTCAGTTGGTTAGGCATCCAATGCTCAGGTCATGATCTTAGGGTCATGAGATCAAGCCCCCTGTTGGGTTCCATGCTGGGCGTGCAGTCTGCTTAAGATTTTCTCTCTCCCTCTCCCTCTGCGCCTCCCCCCGCTCACTCTCTCTAAAATAAATAAATAAATCTTAACCAAAAAAAAAAAAGAAATTCTAATAAACTACTTCAAAGATGAAAAAAAAAAAGAATTGAACAGATATTCAGGGACCTATGGGACAGTATCAAAAGTCTACTATTTGCATTATCCCAGGAAAGGAGAAAGAGATTGGTGTAGAAAAAAAATTTGAAGAAATAATGGCCCAAAACTACAAATTTGGTGAAAGACATTAATTTACAGATTGAAGAAGATCAGAGAACAGGATAAACTAAAAGAAAACCATACCCAGACACATAATCAAACTGCTGAAAACCAAAGATAAAGAAAAATCCTGAAAGCAGCCACAGAACATATTACATATAGAGGAACAATGCTTCAAATGACTACAGATTTCCCATCTAAAACCATGAGGGTCAGAAGGTAGTAGACAACACCTTTTTTAAAGTGCTGGAAAGTCTAAAAACTCTAAAAACAGGTGTGCTTAAAATTACATTTTAGAACTTCTCCTAGATTCATTAAAGTCACGAAATAAATTAGCCTAAGATCTGCCAAGCCACTGTACTTAAACTCTAGAATGCCACGCACCTGGATCTGGCTGCAGCCACACAGTTTGGATGGTTATCAGGGATAACGCCCTTTCCCATGGGGGTGGGCAGAAATGGCAATTTACATTGCTCCACCAATTTCCTGAGGGCCTCCTCTGCATGCGCATAAGCAGCACCTACAAGCAATGCAAATGATTCCACAAGTCCGTTATGGTCCAGGCACTGTGATTCTTTTTTTTTTTTTTTTTAAAGATTTTATTTATTTATTTTGACAGAGAGACACAGCGAGAGAGGGAACACAAGCAAGGGGAGTGGCAGAGGGAGAAGCAGGCTTCCCACCAAGCAGGGAGCCCGATGCGGGGCTTGATCCCGGGACTCTGGGATCGTGACCTGAGCCACCCAGGTACCCCATGGCACTGTGATTCTTAAAACAGCCCACACGAATTTGCTTTTAGAACTTCTCAAATAATCTCTTGTTTATACAGGGCTTGCTTACACTCAAAACAAACTGTAACTATGGTTTTTATCTTTGGTATTTTAAAATGTTTAAGAAAGCCACAGTTCTAATTTCCTCCCCAATAATATTCTCAATTATTCTGAAGGATGCGTACTACAAAACATAAGTTGCATCTCTTCTCTCTTGCTGCTCTGAATTGTCTGTTCTATGGTTCCTACTGAATTACTTACTACTCACGATTCCCTAAATACAGTATCTTTACTGACAGGCCCAGGTGGGCAAGGAAGGACTCTGCTCTGACAGAGAGAGGCTCTCTCTAACTTCACATGTTGCTTCCTACCATCAGCTAACATGGACTGCACAGTATCCTACCTTAGGCATGGAAATTCTAACAAGAGACGTTAGTTTAGTACATTCAGATTCAACATAATGCTCCCCCATAAAAAAATACCTTAAAATCTTTTCTCATACATGTCAGATGAAAAATAGCTTCTTTTCATCCAGAAAGTTTCCCTGTATTCTCTTTCTTGCCTCAATCTTTGTCCACCCAGTTCTCTCTTCCTGGACTGTGCACTCAGTGACCTATCATCCATCTATTCAAGGTGTAGCAGTGTTATCTCTTCCAGAGAGTCTTTCCATACCATCTACATGAGCAAATTGTTGCTGCTTCCCTTGAGAAGCCACCTGACCCTCTCTATACACACCACTTATGGGTACACTGCACTTATTTGTTACCAATCTATCTCTAGGTAGGGACCATTATTCCTCTGTATATCTTACAAATGTTTTCTATAATCCCTACCTTATCGTAAGTACTCATTAAATGTTGGTTAAAAGAAGAATGAAAACTAGCATCTACTGAGTTCCTTCTACCTATCTTATTACTTAATCATAGCAATCCTGTTGAAGTTAATATCTTTGTTTTACAAGTGAAGTAATTGAGACTCAAAGTAGTTGTTTGCCAAGACCATAGAGCTAATACAGCATATAGCTTCATTCAACTCAGCTCTGACTTAGATTTTTTTCTGTTGTCCACCATTTTCACTAAAATTATTTTTAGTTTCTATGTAGTTAGTTCCTCAGTAGTTGGTAATTGACTAACATGGTCATAGGTGACTCACAGCCCCCTCAGTTCTAGAACATATAATGGAAAATAACTTGCTGACAGGAGTATAAGTTGGTACAATACCTTGGGAGAAAGCAATTTGACAATATGTACCAAAAACCCTAAAATATGAATTACCTTTTAACTTAATTTTCTTTCTGGGAATCTATAGTAAATCCTAAATATGGAAAAAGCTTTAAGCACAAACATGTTTGTCACAGCTATACTAAACAAACAAAAAACTGGCAAAGATTTAAATATCTGTCAGTGAGGGCGCCTGGGTGGCTCCGTTGGTTGAGCGGCTGCCTTCGGCTCAGGTCATGATCCTGGAGTCCCGGGATCGAGTCCCGCATTGGGCTCCCTGCTCAGCAGGGAGTCTGCTTCTCCCTCTGACCCTCTTCCCTCTCGTGCTCTCTATCTCTCATTCTCTCTCTCTCAAATAAATGAATAAAATCTTTAAAAATAAATAAATAAATATCTGTCAGTGAAGTGTTAGTATATACATGAATAGACCTTAAAATTATATTTAGGAAAAAAACTTCAAGACCATGAAGAAATGTTACAATATTAAATGAAATAATTAAAATATAAATAAAACTGTCTATATGGTGTGATCACAACATATGAAATATACATGCAGAAATGAATACAGTATTACATGTTAAAAATAGTTTTTTTTTTTTGAGAAAGAAAATGTGTGAGGGGGGGGAGGGGCGGAGAAAGAGGAAGAGGGAGAGAATCTTAAGCAGGCTCTGTGGAGCCTGATGTAGGGCTTGATCTCACAACCCTGAGATCATGACCTGAGCTGAAATGAAGAGTCAGATGCTTAACCAACTGAGCCACCCAAGCACCCCCAAAATAGCTGTCTTTGGATGAAGGGATTTCTTCTTTCTAATCTTCTGGATTTTCCAATATTTTTTATAATGATCAAATATTTTTATAATGGAAAAAACACATTTTACACATAAGAGTAAAGAAACAGAATGGGTGATACTCCTTTAAAAGGGCAAGATCTCTGGGCATTCTACAATAATTCTGTGATAAATTAGTGAATAATCCTAAATGAAAAGAACTCATACTCCAATTTCGAATATTAGATATGTTAATAAATAATGAAGATAATTTCTAAACAGAATCAGTATTCTTTCAACAGCTTAGCAAGATTTAGAGTTCCATTTGCTGCTACCTTTCCCGATGATAAGAAGGGGCTGTCTGGCATTTCTAATAACAGATGCTGCCATGTACACAGCAGAGGTTTCTGCCATACTAACAGGAGGTGGCATGCAGCACTCCACGTACCTGGAAATAAAGGGCTCTGTTAATTAAAAGAGGCCAAGTTTTAAACTTTTTACTATGAAAATACCAAACATATAAAAAGGTAGGAAAAAAATAGTACAATAAACTCCAAATACCCACCATGTAGATTCAACAACTAATATTTTACCACATTTGCCTCACATATACACACACAAATATGCATATCAATTTGTTTCCTGAACCATTTTAAAGTGAATTATAAGCAAGTAAAAGCTTTTCCATGCAGCTCTAAAAGATAAAGTTTCTCCTATATAACCATATTGTCCCTATCTTATCTAGTAAATTAAGTTACTCCCTAATACCATCTAAAAGCCAATCAAATCAGTAATTCACTGACAGAAAATCTGAGTTAATGGCTCTACCCTGTAGTAATAGTTGCTGTAAGAACAGTAAAAACATATTCAGGGTCAGTGTTTAATACTATGTGCCATTTAATCTCATTTAATTTTCAAAGCAATGACGCCAGGAGCTACCATTATTTCCATTTCACCATTGGGGGGCGAGGAGGGAAACTCAGAAAATAACTTGCCCAGGGTCCCCAGATGTTATACGGCAGAAACTGGATTGACCTAGGTCATTCTGTCTCCAAAGTCCATGCCTTTAACTATCTCACTGGGAGAATCAGTATTTTGATAATACAATATGCATTAGGAAAAGAAAGTTTAAAACTGTCATGGTTAAGTATTTCTGGACACCAAGTCCTCGGTGTTTTCATTTATTTTAATAAACATCATACACTGTACAAAATTTGAGCATATAAAACAAAAAAAGACATTCAATCTTTACAAAAATTTTATTTTTTTAAACTTTTTTTAAAAGATTTTATTTATTTGAGAGAGAGAGAGAGAGGGTGTGAGCATGACGGGGGAGGGGCAGAGGGAGAAGGAGACTCCCTGTTGAGCAGGGAGCCTGACGTGGGGCTCAACATGGGGCTCGATCCCAGTACCCTGGGATCATGACCTGAGCCGAAGGCAGACGCTTAACCGACTGAGCCACCCAGGCGCCCAACCTTTACAAACATTCTAAAGAAGGCTTACAGAGTTAACTTACCAGAGACAGTTCTGCCTTCCCTCCCCCCAGTAATATTTTATCATGTTGAGGTATTATGCAGGGTAGATGTCCTTTTTGTCTGACTCTCACAAAGAGAAACAACTCTTTGTTATACTGAATATACAGAAATGCACACTGTTTCTCTGCAGTCACTAGAGAACCACTTGGTCCACAACAGCAGGAATATACTAAATGGTACCCAGGATGATGTCTTACCCTAAGTATCCACCCTTATCAGAGGTGACTTAGATACCAGTGAAAAATTGTTTCTTATGCTTTTTATTTGCTCAGTGTTTATCTAAGGAACGTGGAAAATCATAGTAACACCTGAGTGGAATATTTTTAAATCACAGAGACAGAAAGACTAAAGTTTTTTTATGCTGAGTCCTAAATAATTTTTCAATGGTCACCTCATCTCTTGGTTTACACTTTGAAGACTCTGAATAACCCCTGCTACGTTAGTGGGGATGTATTATTTACGGCCTCTGGAAGAATAATTTCAAATAAGTGCTCAGGAAGCTTCATGTATTTAACTTAATATTTAACCCCCCAAATAATTACTAAATAATACCATTTTATTTATTTATTTTTAAGATTTTATTTATTTGACAGAGAGAGACACAGTGAGAGAGGGAACACAAGCAGGGGGAGTGGGAGAAGGAGAAGCAAGCTTCCCGCTGAGCAGGGAGCCCGATGCAGGGCTCGATCCCAGGACCCCGGGATCATGACCTGAGCTGAAGGCAGACGCTTAACGACTGAGCCACCCAGGCGCCCCTAAATAATACCATTTTAATTAAGAGAATTAAATCCTTTGGCCAGGATTTAGTTTAATTATTAAACTGTCAAAAGTTAAGACAAATGAAGATTAACTTATATACTGCTAGGTAAATTGTTAAAAAGGTAAACATAATAACACAATTAAGAACTTCAGTATAACTATTACTCACTTTACAGAATTCACATTCACTTGGAAGTTCACAAAATCTGCAGGTATGTCAACATAACAAGGACCTGGACGACCATAAATACTGCTTCTCACTGCCTAAATTTATTACAAATAGAAGAAACTATTTTAAAATTCTCAATCTTTATCACATAATCCACTCAAAGATAATTAAGAATTGTGAAAGGAATACTATTTTAATTTTTTCTGGACATCCACAGTTAGGGAAATAAACAATTTTAACTAAAATCGAAATGCCCTCTATTGATTATATATATTTTAGAAGATATTTTTGTTTAAAAGGGGAGCGACAAGAAAGAAAATACTCACCTAGGGTTTTAAAATTCATGTCATATTATAGTCTTAGAAATTATCCACCAGGCTCTGCCTGCCAAGTGTTTACTCTATAACATGTGCTTTTACTTGCTTCCTAGTCCTAATGACTTGGCTAACTTTTCAGAAACTCTGCATGATGTTATCATATGTGTCAAATGGTCTCTAACACATGGTTTTGAAACAGCTCAAATGTAACTCCACATACAAATGTTGCTTAACTAAGATTAATTTATAACATGCTGTTTAGGCAACTAAGGCATGGTTTTATATTCATTAGTACTAATTTTCAAAACTTAACTTGCAAAAGCATAAGCTTTCTTTTTACTTTTCTGTAGTTAAAAAAATAATTTTAAAAACTGAAGGAGAAACTTTTTTCAAAAATAATTTATTTTATCTGTTTCTAGAATTAATTGACAGCAAACATTAAAATATAAATAGCTCTTTAATACTATCATTTTTGATGGCCTGAATATATACCAAATTGTTGCTCATTCTATGGAGAATACAAATAACACAGGTATGAGCAACTGAGAAAAACCAATTGACCTGGAGGACTTATAATTAAATACTTTTACCTTTTCGATAATAGAGGGAATACATTCTATGCTGCTTGGCCGGGCGGAGAACTTGCTATATAATCTACAAGCTTCAACCTATATGCAGAAAGAAAATTAAAATTCAGCTCACAGATATTACTCTTCGGAAGGAAGACAAAATATTAAGTCATTAGTTTCTATTATGTGTAGAGAAAAGATGGAGAAAATACATTACCTGGACTGTTTCTTAAAAGCCTAGGCAAAGCCCAAATTTTCGCCTCAGTATGATTCAGAAAGTAAATCAAAACATCATTTCATTTCTCAGACTGGCAAAAATGAAAGACTTTGATAATACTCAGCATTTACCACCACACAGGAAAGCAGGCACTCTCCTAAGCTGCTGGTGAGAGTATAAATGGGAAGGGAAGTTGATAATGTCCACTAAAAATTAAAATGAGCATATCCCTGGACCCAGAAATTCCACAGCCAGGAATACAAAACTCCACCTGCTTCATCTTGTTACAATTATAATCTATCCTTATTACATTTCTGCCAGTTTTCCTGTTATATATTTTACTGCTATGCTGTTTGGGATGTGTCAATTCAGCAATGCTTAATTTTTCACTGTTCAATGCACTCTAAGCAATATATAGAAATGGTGTCTCTTGATACTTTTTGGTATGAAAGTTGGTAGTCTTAGTCCCAAAAGCATGATAGAATTAAGATTTTCAGTCTGTTCCCGGTCATGCCATCTAAAGTATTTCCACAAAAACAGATACTTGGATTTTAAATCAAATCAGTGATTTTTCTCTTCACATTTTTAATTTCACCTAATAAACTTTTATTATTTTCCTTTTCAGGAAAAAATATTTGCAAGAGACATTATCCTCTGCTTTCTTCTCATCTATAAAGTTTCTGTAATAAGTTTAAATTTTTTTTTAAGTATTTTATTCATTTATTTGAGAGAGAGAGAGACAGCGAGAGAGGCAACACAAACAGGGGGAGTGGGAGAGGGAGAAGCAGGCGTCCTGCAGAGCAGACAGCCTGATGTGGGACTCAATCCCAGGACCCTGGAATCATGACCTGAGCCGAAGGCAGACGCTTAATCACCCAGGCGCCCCTAAATTTCCTTTTATTTTTATTTTTTAAAGATTTTATTTATTTATTTGACACACAGAGAGAGAGTGAGCACAAGCAGGGGGAGTGGCACGCAGAGGCAGAGGGAGAAGCAGGCTCCCCACAGAGAAGGCGGAGCCCGATGTGGGACTCGATCCCAGGACTCTGGGATCATAACCTGAGCTGAAGGCAGTCGTTTAACCAACTGAGCCACTCAGTTGCCCCTAAATTTCCTTTTAAATAACTTATCTGCTCTGCTTATTTTTCAAACATATTAGCATTTTTAAAATAATGGTTGTTATTCTTTACCATTAACTAAGTAAACTTCAATTTCCTTTCAAGAGGATAAAAGTGTAACTTTTGCATCAACCTATACCAAGATCTAGTATTTTACAATAATTTAAATCACAGAGAAAATTCTATGTTTATATTCTGAGGTTCTCACAATGACTTCTGGATTAACCAGTAGACTTTGCCTAAGGTTTTAACTCTGCTCAGAACTTTGCGCTCGAAATGCGCAAATATGTTCTTAAGAGTTAATCATTCACTCTCACCTATTTGCTTTCTAGAACTATTCTTAAAACTGTAGCATTTTGTTTTATGCAACTATTTATGAAGACCTCTGTAGTACTTGTAATATATAAAAAAAAGTAAAAAAAGAAAAAAAACACAAAAAACAAACCACTATAGAATTTTGTTGACAAATTCTTTTAAGTTTTTAGAAATTTTTAAATATTTTCCTTCAGCCATCGAAAATAAAAATGAACTTGTCCAGTCTACTGATAGTCATTTTACATAGGATTTTTCCTCTCAACTTTTTACTTCTCTGAAGTTTGGGAGGCATAGTCCCACACCATTTTTATTCCTGCATCTTGACTCTTTAAGAACTTAGTTTCAGAGTTTAAAAGCCTGTCAAAAAGATAAAACTCTTGGAAGACTGCTCCTAAGCAGAGCCTGAGCTCCCTTAATATACACACTGAGACTGTCTTGTAGTTAAGGAAAATTACCTCTCAATTACCTCAGGTACCTCTGTTTTATTTTGTGTATTTTGCAGATAGGAGTTTTTATTTCTTCTCCATAAATCTTTTTTATTTATTTATTTTTAAAGGTTTTATTTATTTATTTGACAGAGAGAGACACACAGCGAGAGAAGGAACACGGCAGGGGGAGTGGGGGAGGGAGGAGCAGGGAGCCCGATGCGGGGCTAGATCCCAGGACCCTAGGATCATGACCTGAGCCGAAGGCAGACACTTAATGACTGAGCCACCCAGGCGCCCCTCTTCTCCATAAATCTTAATAGCGTACATTTATGCTACTAAACTCTAAGAAAAATTTTAGAGTGCGTACCTGTGGAAACTCCTGGAAGGCTCCCATCGTTTCCTGCCTTCTTTCAGAAGAACCACCAATCACAATCAAGGGCCTGAAATAGTCATTGTTTTAAAAGAGAATTCCAGATGAGATCGACATGTAAAATACTCAGGAGAGTGCCCAATTAAGAAATAGCCATGTATGTTGAGAGAGACAAAGAATTTCACTTTCCCTTAAAAACTATGGATTAGGGGCACCTGGGTGGCACACTCGGTTAAGTTCTTGGTTTCGGCCCAGGTCCTGATCTCAGGGTCGTGAGATCTGAGATTGAGATCCCCATCAGGCTCTGTATTGGGTGTGGAGTCTGCTTAGGATTCTCTCTCTCCCTCTCCCGCTGCCCCTCCCCCCCCACTCGCAAACATGCGCCTGCTCTTTCTCTCAAATAAATAAATAAAATCTTTAAAACAAACTATAGATTAAAAAAGATTTAGGAAGCAACCTGATTCAAGAGAACCCTTCCTTAATTTCAGAAAAAGTTGAAATTCATAGTAAATGCTTTTCCTTCATGCCGCCCATTTTCCAAGCCCTTCTGAATGCTGATGCTAAACCTCTAGGTGTGGTGATGTAAAATAAATTTTTATGACCTTCCCATTAGTCTTGGAATTAAAAGGAGGAAACAATTTTTTTTTCACACTTTCCTAGGTGAGTCTACTTGGAAATGGTGGAGTAAGAGAAATTCCTCGGCAATAAATTTCTTAAAGAAAAGATACAGAAAACTTAAAGTTACTAAAAAAAATCAGACCCTAAAGTAGGTAAGAAAGAGAAAGACTGGGAAGGAAAAAAGGAAAGAAGGCATATGGCAAGAAAGTGAACAATGCCCCTCCTACTAGGACATTAGTTTAAATAATATCTAAATATTTAATCTTCCTTTATACTAGGAAGGTGAAATATTTTATGAATTGACTAGAACATAACCCCCTTTAACATGATTTTATTGGTAAAGTGCCAAAGATGGGGTTAAGGGCAAGGTCAAAGAGTAAGTACTAAGGAGCTTATAAAGCAAACTCAAAAAATATAATTTCAATTGTCTTGCTAATTATGCAAAACAAGATGAAGAACTGGATATACCTTTTTACATATGGACCTGGGGTCTTTAAAAAATAATTCTGCACTTAAAGAGGACTTGTACACACATTCACATATATAGAGATAAAAATACACACACACACACACACACAAACTCCAAAATGTGTTTTTTTTTTTAAGTTTTATACACAGTGTCATTTTAATGAGTTAAACATGAGACTATTCCCACAAGCTTCTACACATAAGTTTATGAACACTTAAAATCTCAATGAAAGAAGATGTTAGATGAAGGACACATTATATACTGTCTAGTTCCCATGAGTTAAACACAGAGCTATGCCCATATGCTTCTACATGTTTAGAAACACATATCTTTTTTTTTAAGTAGGCTCCATGCCCAACATAGGGCTTGAACTCATGACCCTGAGATTAAGAGTTGCATGCTCTACCAGCTGAACCAGCCAGGACCCCTATAAACACCTATATCTTAATGAAGGAAGATGTTACTTGAAAGGTTTATATATAGGGTAGACTCAATGAGTTAATCATATGTGTATTCCCATATGCTTCTACACGTAAGTTTTCCAAAAACTCCCAAAATGTTAACAGTGTTTACCTCTAAGTAAGATTGCTGATATTTTTTATGTTCTTCCTAATACTTTTCTTAATTTTTTACTAAGCCATTCCCTCAAGCACTTGATTCCAAGTCTTCCCACCCCAGATCACGAATAACAATTAATTACCAACAGTTCATGTTTGCATTTGCCATACCACCCAAAGCGTGGATGAGACCTGGGCCAGAAACAACAAGGCATACGCCTGGCCTAGAACCAAAACAGAATTTACTGTATTAAAAGCAGGTCAATTGCAATAGCTGATGAATATCACTCTAGGGGGAAACATGGCAACCTTCTTGGACTTCAAAAAGAGGACATATAGGTCTTTACTACAATTGGTAAAGCAATTATTAGAATATTTTCTGAATTATAAAAGAAACAAGGGTAAGATTATATGTCTTTCCTGCAAGAAAGAAGATACCTATCATCTTCACACTGTATTTCACTAACCTTTTCATATTTTGAACCTCCTCATATTTTGAAGAAGTTATATTTGGGCCCAGTCAATTTAATGGCATACAAAAGTCAATTCTTGATGCTGAGTACATTTTTGTTTGGAGAAAAGTGTTTAAAAAATTTTTTTTAACAAATAAATATGTCATTTGATCTCTGACAGAAAATAATTCCAAAATGTAACGCTCTGCCTCAAATTTTTTAAACTGAATTTGAATGCTTCACCCTAGATGTGACTTTCTAACCTTAAAACACTCAAGGAAAAAGTATCTCCATATAATTCAGTTTGCCATTTTACACATTTATAAAGTCATTTAAGAAACTCAGTTTAAGACAGCCTTCAAAAGAAACTGAAATAAAACAAAGACTTTATTTTACCTGCCTGTCAGATATCCAATCGCAGAGGCAGCATAACAAGCCTACAAAGAAAAAATACTGGGACTTAAGCATACTGGGATCCTTACAGTAATTGTACATATAAAAATTCACTATTCAGTAAGAAACTAGAACTGAATCGTAAAGGAGGAATTAGAATGCTTTCAGTTTTAACAAGTAATGTTCTACCTGTAAATTTCAAATAATGGTTTAGGTTTCTAATCTAGTTCCTAGTATTTCAAGGAACTTGTCTATTTCATCTAGTTTATTAATAATATCCTCTTACAACCGCTTAAATATCTGCAGGATCAACAGAAATGTTCTCTATCTTATTCCTAATATTGGCAATTTGTGTTTTCTCTCTTTTATTCTTCATCAGTCTTGCCAGGGATTTATCAAATTTATTAATATTCTCAAAGGACCAATTTTTGGCTTTGTTGATTTTTCTATATTGTTCATTTATTTTCTAGTTCACTGATTTCTGCTCCTGTTATTTATTATTTTACTCTCTTCATTAGGATTTAGTGGTTTTCTTTTTCTAGCTTCTTAAAATGTAAGCTTAGAGCACTGATTTTTGCTCTTCCTTAGTAATAGATTCATTTAAAACCATTTCCTCTAAGAACTGCTTTGGCTATGACTTACAAGTCTGAAATCTCATCTTTTCATTATCATTCAGTTCAAAATATTTTCTATTTTCCACTGTGATTTCTTCTTCAACCCACTGGTTGATTAGGGTTCATTGTGATGTCCTTTTTCTTTTTTTTAAAGATTTTATCTATTTACTTGAGAGAGAGCGAGCAGGTGGAGGGGCAGAGGGAGAAACAGACTCACCACTGCGCAAGGAGCCCGATGTGGGGCTTGATCCCAGGCCCAGCGACCACAACCTCAGCCAAAGGCAGATGCGTAACCGACTGAGCCACCCAGGCGCACCCCCCCCCTTTTTTTAAGATTATTTATTTATTTATTTGAGAAAGAGAGAGTGCATGAGCAGAGGAGAGGAACAGAGGGAGAGGGAGCAGCAGACACCCCGCTTAGCAGGGAGCCGGAAGCAGGGCTGAATCCCAGGACCCTGAGATCATGACCAGAGCCAAAGGCAGACGCTTAAAGGACTGAGCCACCCAAGCGCCCCTGATGTGTCATTTTTCATTCTTGCTATTAGTAATTTATATTTTCTTTCATTTTTTAAAAAAGACTTTATATTTATTTATTCATGAGAGACAGAGAGAGAGAGAGGCAGAGGGAGAAGCAGACACCCCGCTCCACAGGGAGCCTGATGCAGGACTCCATCCCAGGACCCTGGGATCATGACCTGAGCCCAAGGCACACACTTAACCGACTGAGCCATTCAGGCGCCCTCTGTCTTTCATTTTTGACCAGTCTGCCCTGAACTTTTTTTAATTCACTAGTCTTTTTAAAATGTTTACAAAGTATCAAATGTGTTATTTAACTTTCAAATGTTTGGGGATTTCCTAGTTATCTTTCTGTTACTGAATTTATTTCCACATGGAGAGGTTACATGTATTATATATTTTCAATCTTGGAGATTTGTTGAGATTTCCTTTATGGCTTGCATATACCTAGTTTTTACTTTTTTTTTTCTTAAAGATTTTATTTCTTTATTTGAGAGACAGAGACAGAGAGAGAACAGGAGTTGGGGGAGGGCAGAGGGAGAGGGAGAAGTAGGCTCCCCACTAAGCAGGGAGCCCAACGTGGGGCTTGATCCCAGGACCCTGGGATCATGACTGGAGGAGAAGGCAGACGCTTAAAAGACTGAGCCACCCAGGCACCTTGGCTAGTTTTTACTTTTTTTTTAGTTTTTACTTTGAAACTACACTTCAGCTGCACAGCAAAAAAGAGGAGGTGCTAAATCAAATACAAGATAACCTGAAAATATGCTAAATGCCCTCTCAAATAAATCCTTTTTCTTAGTCTGGGACATCTTTTTTCCAGTATTATTTCTTCTCATTTTTTTAGAAATAATAAAAAATAGGCTATTTTCTAACCTCCAATCAACTTTATGTGTGGTACACTGAACTTAAATAAATGTTTAGGACGTAAGTGTAAAAAATTAAAAATAAATTTTTATGAATCATAATCTTAACTGACACCACTACATATGCCCAACCAAGAAGGTGCACAAAGGCTCTGTACCATTTCTGTGTTACTATTCTCCATTGGCCCTTATCTCTTTTCCCTTTTGCACATAAGTCCAAATTCACAAAGGATAATAATAAGACAGCCCTAAGAATGCAAGTGCATAAAATATAATATCTGTTGCAATATGAACACTTATTTGGACACTGAGGAGCACTGTCCACTTATTAAAGTGGGGTAAGAAATGTTGCTACAGAATGAAAAATACAAAACAACATACAACAAAAATCATATTCTTCTGTTGCAGATGTCAAAAGTTGAAAAGGAACTCTTCTTATAGATCATAAAACATGTATTTCTTGGGGTGCCTAGGTGGCTCAGTTGGTTAAGCATCTGTCTGCCTTTGGCTCAGGTCATGATCCCAGGGTCCTGGGATAGAGCCCCGAGTCGTCAGCTTGCCTCTCCTTCTCCCTCTGCCCCTGCCCCGCCCAACCCCTGCTCATGTGCTCTCTCTTGCACACTCTCTCTCTCAAATAAATAAATAAAACAACAAAAAAAAATGTATTCCTTTACCAAGTTACCTCCACTCACAAGCAGAATACTGTGTATAGTACTTAAAAGAGCAGACTCTAGAACTAAATCATTTTGATTCAAATCCTGCTCTCCTACTCTCTGCTGTGTAATTTTGGCAAGTTACTCTGTACCCTGGCTTCCTTATCTATAAAATGAACATAACTGACAGCACTGCTGTGAGGATGAAATCAATTAATACATGTAAAACATTCCGAATATTGCCCGCACACAGTTAATACGTGTAAAACATTCCGAATATTGCCTGCACACATTTTGCACTCACCTTCCCAGATTGTGTTCAACTTAAAGACCAAGACTAATGTAACAGTGAGAACTAACACTGTGCCTACTTCCTGGAAAGCTGCTCAGTATATGTCTTGATTACTGTAAGGATCCAGTGCAAGATAAACAAGTCACAACCAATTACACCTTTCTTTTTAGTATAACACGTAATTGGATGCCAAGTCCTCTTCTGCCTCTTGTATGGCTTCTGAATCGGTTCTCACATTCTCTCTTCATCATCCTGGCATTACCCTTAATTCAGGCACTAGTTAAGTCATCCTGCCTACTGCAAAGACTCAGGCTTTCTGAGGGGACTGTCTACTACTGGGAATGTCCTACAGGCATCTCAAACTCATATCCAAAGTGGGATTCATTATCTCTTCCCTCCAAATTGGCTCTTCCATCTGTACTCCAGATCTGAGTTAGTGGCACTGTGATCCACTCAGCCAGTTAAGCAAGCCCAAATCTAAGAAGCATCTCCAGAAGAGCCTGTCCTCTCCTTCCTAGCTGGTTAATCCCTATTCATCCTTTGAGACAGCTCAGGGATCATTTCCTCTAGGAAACCTCTTAAGTTTTAGCTGAGTGTCCTTTTCTAGGCTTCCATAGCACCTTGAATATACCTCTATCACAGCACTTATCACATTATAATAAAATTGTCTACTTATGTCTGTCTCCACAGCTAGGTTATAAACTCCTCAAGGACAGGGACAGTATATCATTCATCTCCATATCCATATGCCCAATAAAGCACTTGGGACCTACAGAGGCCCTCCACTAAGTTTATAGGACTGAAATAAAACTTCAAGCTATCCTACTGATCCATACTCTACACTACCATGATTTCTAAAGTACAAATCTAATTATGTCTCCCACCTATTTAGAAAACCCTTTACAGTCTCATTCAATGCCAACTGAACGAGCCCACATTCCTTGTCCAACCATGGACTTACTACAACTCCCTCTCAGTCCACCTAGTCAGTCTCACAGCCCACTGTGCCTTTAAGCTATTTTGATGGAACAGCACGAACAAACATTGCCTTTATAGATAATCTTCTCTGTCCCACTCAGAGAGAACAAGTCACCCTTTACATGCACCATTCCTTATGCATACATCTGTTATAAGTTATACCAGATAAATTTGTTCTGTGTGTTTTGCACTCACCTTCCCAGATTGTGTTCAACTTAAAGACCAAGACTAAACCTGATTCCTTCAATATATCTCTCTAGGTTTGGCCTTGCTTGATTGACTAGGTGAATCAGCACCACTGACTCAAATCATGAATACAGAGGGAAGAGCCAATCTGGAGGAAAAAGGTAATGATTCAAAATCAGACATGAGTTTGAGAGGCCTATAAGACATTCCTAGTACATATTTCCCATAGTCAGCTTGATTCTTTGCAATAAATCAGAGGAAGACGTAAACACCAGTACCTGGTATGTAAACATTAAATATGGGGTGTATGAAGAAGAAACCAGACATTCCACCTCCAGAAAAACAGTAAAATATAAGTCTTATTAATAGGTCAATAGTTTCATCTTCTCACACAGATGAAAGAATAGAATGTTGTTCCAACTAAGAAGATAGAAGCAATATAAACTGAAGACCTGATTTAATATTTTAAAAAACCACAATCCTCAAATCTTATACTTAAGGATTGTCATTCAATTAATTAAAAAATGTTGTAAGTTCCTACATCATACAAAAACTCCAACCACGCCAGGCACTATGGAGATATAACAAGTGAACCTGCTCTCTAGGAGCCCACATCTGATGAAGAGGAAGGGCAGCACTTAAGGAGGTCAAGGCAGCTGCATGGCAACAGGTGGTAAGAGCCTGAACGAGAGAGCAACAGTGGGAGTGCAAAGCAGGAATACTTAGCTGTAGATGGACTGACAGGATATGACACCATAGAAGTTGTTTCTTGATCTTTTAAGCCAGCACTGGTGAAAGGAGGAAAAGGCTGGGTTGACAGAGTAAGCACTGAGACTGGGTTGACAAAATGTCTTATTTTCCATTCTTTTGCTTCCAAATAAGCCTCTACGAAGGGTGGCAGCATGATGTGGGGGAAGGAGCACTGGACTGGGATATAGGACAATGACGTTCTAATCACAGCTTTTCCATTTGTGATACTGTCATCTTGCAAGGCCATCTACTATATAACAGGAGACCCGGCCTTCACCCATTCATCTGGAAGGAACTGCCTGAGCACCTATCATGTGCTAGGCAGTGGGGATATAGATGTATCAAGAAGAAATAATATCCCTCCTCTCTTGGAGCTCACAGCCAAATAGAGAAGTCAGACCAAATAATACACAGAAACAGACACATAATAACAGACAGTTATGCGAGGACAGAAGGCCTGGATTCAGACCGGGAAACCGTCCCTTCCAAAACCGACCCTCTAGACTTGGCAGAGTACAACCCTGTTCAGTGTCAAGAGCATGGACTCCAGACCCAGAACACGTGGGTTGAAATCCTGGCTCTGCCGTTACCAACTGTCACCTCGGGCAAATTACTTAACCTCTCTGTGTCTCACTTTTCTCATCTGTCAACTAGGATTAACCAAAGTTCTTACTTCATAGGATTGTCGTCATTGGCACGTGTGAAGTACTGGAACAGTGGTGAGGGCTCGGTATCTGCAATGAATATTTGCCGTTATTAGCAATCATTCCCCAAAATGCTTTTGGCTCCCAGTGTCCATACTTACGGCTTGCTCATTCCTCATCCCGACATATGTGATGCCCAGCTTCTGCGCCGCAACGGCGATTTCGGTCACTGGGATGCCCACGATGCCAAACATGTACGCCACATCCTGGGGGCCAAGAACAGAGGAGTAAATGCCCGGACCCCCGCCACACCGCTCCCTCCCGCGGCGCGAAAAGAAAAGCCTCAACGCAAACCTCCCCGGTCCCACCCTAGCGCTCTCCAAGTCTGCGGGACAACGTCTCCACCCCCTGCCGGCTTCCGTAGGAGCCTTTCGTTGCAGGAGAGTCACCATACTTGGGTTTTCAGGGCCTGGGCGATGACTTCAGCACCAGAAACCTGCTTCTCGCTTCTGTCGCTACTCTCGGCGAAGGTACTGTCCCACATCTTCCACCTAAACTTTCGAGGTACTCTCTCAGTCAACAAGTTGACCCGTAGAGACCCGGCGAAACAAAGTCGGAAGGCAGCCGCGCACCAACTGTGAAGTCCCGTCCTCTGACTGACAAGAGGACGGCAACCAACCGCTTTAAAATAAATAGCGGGAAGGAAAAGGCGGGGCTTAAGTTAGTCGGCTCGCAGGGTAAACACACTCCTTCTCCAATCAGAACCGTGCCCTTTGCCCAGCTCCTCCAGTCGCCGGGTCAGAGCGTCGGAAGGAGGCGGTACCAGAAGGAGTCCGCTGCCTACGCCAAGCAGGTGAGGGGCCAAACCTCGGAGGCCTCTCGCCCCCCTCTAATTACTGTGGGGAGCTGTCCGGCCACCTGCGAAGGCGAGTGGCGCATGCGCATAGTGGGGCAGGGGGAGGGCTAGGAGCGTGAGTGGAAGGGGGCTTGGCGCGCGCGCCCCCCGTTCCCCCTCCATGCGCTAGGGGTTGAGGGCAGGCTTCGCAAAGGCTGCTGGGACCCGGGTGGGCTGGGTGGAACCTAGCGTAGTGCAAAGCTGTCTTTGGGTCGTGTTGTGTTTCTGCGCCCGTTGAGTCCTAGACGTTTGCTACGTGCTTTTTGGTTTATACACGCTTTTGTAACTTTGAAGAAGTTTCACAACTATGTAGTTCGTGAAACATAGTAATTAACTAGTGCACGTTAATTAAATCCATAAACGGATGTACTCTCTACCCCAATATTATAGATGACACCGAATTTATAAGCAAGAGACAGAAAGTAAAATTGCTCACGCCATTTCTCAGAATCCCAAACTTGTACTTTTAGGCTACCGGAGACAAAGAGGAACCCTTGAACCTAGCTATTTTAGCCGGGCGTGAGCTCGCAAGCCTGAGATCAAGACCTGAGCTAGTATCAAGAGTTGGATGTTTAACTGAGCCACCCAGGCGCCCCTGAACCTAGTTAAAAGTAAGACCATTGTTTTCTTTAACTCTTGCTACTCACCCCCTCTTCCTCTCCACTCACCCTCCGTTCTTGCCTTTTCCAAAATCAGGGAATGTGGGTTTTCCTAATTCTTAGATTCAGTCCCTGTCGACCAGTCCCTGTAGCTGATAACCTTTTAAAACGCATTTTTGAGGGGCGCTGGGGTGGCTCAAAAATAAGATTAAAAAAAAAACACACACACACGCATTTTTGAGGAGAAAAAGATGCTTGCAATGTGTGATTTCACTGGATGTAGCCTCCGAGTCATTAAACCATCTCCATAGCAAAGAGTGACTTTAAATTTTTGAGGATTTTGAGTGTTTTAAAGCAAAAAGACAAGCAATATGTGGAAAGTAGAGAGAAGAGGGGAGTGGGTCATGGGTAGAGAAATGAATGAAAAGCATTGGAAGTGAAAGGATTTCTAAGCCCAGAGATTTTCAAACCATAGTCCTAGGCCCCTCCAAAAGGTCTTCCTTTCAGCATTTCAAGCCCTAACCTCCCACCCTAAACAGAAGAGAGTGTAATAGTGGCCTGTCTGGATTTGGGGACTAGCCTGTGTAAGGTAGCCAGCTCATCAAAGAGGGAGATTTCTTTGATGGCTCAGAGTTCCTCTAAAACATAAATGCAAATCTTGCATTCCACTCCAAAGTGTATCCATATTTTAATATAAATATCTTTTTATGAGGTAAAATGAACATGCAATTAAATGTACAGGTCTTAAATGTTAAGTAAATTTTGACAATTGTATATACCTATGTAATCACCACCCAAAATAAAAATGACATTTTAAACTACCTGTCAAGTGAAATTGACATTCCAGAAATATGCAAAATGTTCTTTGTGTGGCTTTGGGTAGTCCTGTTCTTTGTCTCCCGTCTCTGTTTGAGAAGCATGGACCCCAAGCTCCTCTATCATGTAGTATCGTTTATATTAGTACCTATGTGACAGTCTTGACTCCCATTGCATCAGAATCACTTGGAAAACTTTTTAAAAATGCAATTGCTTAGGCCCTACACCGTATTTTCTAAATCAGTGTGTTAGAACAAGTTAGGCACCTATATTTTTTTTTTTAAAGATTTTTATTTATTTATTCATGAGAGACAGAGAGAGAGAGAGAGGCAGAGGGAGAAGCAGGCTCCCAGGGAGCAGGGAGCCCGATGCGGGACTTGATCCCAGGACTCTGGGATCATGACCCGAGCCGAAGGCAGACGCTTAACCATCTGAGCCACCCAGGTGCCCCGGCACCTATATTTTTTTAAAGCTGCTACATTATTTTGATTTGCAGCCCGTCTTGGAACCACTAGCTCTGTACCCTTGCTAGAGGCATCAGTTAACAATTAAATGTGTGATTTCCTGTTACCAGAGTAATACTGTTGATTAGTTTGGATTTACAGGTTCAAGGCTAGTTTGACATTGGCACCACAGACTGTGTAGATGGTTAGTCAGTTGGTGGGCCTTGTGTCTACTTCTGTGTCAAAAGAATCATAAACAAAAGCACTCTGTATAAAGTGTGGTGAAAACTATACTATGAACTGGAACAAATCCCCTGAATTCACATTTACTGGTTGTGCAAAAAGGATAAATTTTCAACTGACTGGATTTTGTCCTTTAGCAAAGGGAAAAGTCAATGAGACTGTTTAAACTTGCTTTCACCTTTATATCTTTGGTTCAGGGTGCAGTGTTCCACTGCTCACTTGGTCTGATGATTGAGCAGAAGTGATGACAGTCCTCCTCCCCAGGATTAGCTGGCACTGGGAGCAACTCCTTTCAATCCAACTGTGATTATAGGATTCTTCCGTGATTTATCCAAGGCGCTTCCATGCAGACTTTGTAAGCATTAACCATATTCTTTATTACTTGCGTTGGTGGTAGACATGGAATTTTATTTGTTGGATGTTTTATTGGAATTTTTTGTTTGCTTTTGTTTATTTGTTCATGGAAGGAGGTCAAAGAAGGAATGAGTCTAATTTTTTTAAAAGACAAGGCTAACATAATGATAATATGCTCTCTAAACAGGAGAGCCAGTCATCAAAGTGTACAATCAGAGTAATCTGAGTCTGTTGGGAGGAACAGGGAGAGAGAGTCAACATCCCCTACATTAGGCAGGGCCTGTGTTTCCTCCAGCCACCTAGGGTTTTTGGAGGAGGCCTATTTAGACGTTAATCCACTATATCAGGAGGGATTTTATCAGCCTCATTAGTAGCCAGACACATTCTGCAAGAGGTCCTTAGATTGGGTCCTGATTTAGGGCCATTCAAAGCTGAACATAGGGTACCTCAGTTCGGTTTGCCTTGTTTCCTACCAGAAGAGATCTGGTAGATCATATTGAGGCCATGCAGTGTTAGAAAAGAAGATCAGTTCTTTCTTAAATTTTGCGATCCTGAATTGTTTCCAGTGGGTTAAAAGGCATGCCATGGGAAAGTCCTTGGGAACCAAAGAAGCCTAGAGAAGGTCCGTTATCAAAAATCGCTCCTGACTCCTGGGTGGTGTCCCACGGAGGATATGTCAGGGCTTCTGGGTGTTCAAGTGACTGGAGGCATCCCTCCAACAAAATCACCATTGATCACCATGCCTGCTGTAAAGTAAAGGCCCCATAGGAGGGATTGCCTGTGTTCCCTTGCTTCCCCATTGCGCTCTAGACTACAAGTGGATGCCGGTGAATTGACCGAAATACCATGCCCTGCCGTGCTGTGAAGAACCTGCCATTTCTAACCCATGGAAAACACCAGAAAAGTTTTACAAGGGGAAATTACCCAATTTAGTAACTTCAGTAGCTAGTAGGGAACATTGATGAAAAAGAGTAAAATAGAAATCCATCATGATCTAAGCAACATTCCAACACATGTAGTCCTTACAGCCGACTTCCCTAGGAAATGGTCCCCAGTGGGATTTTGATTCAATCGGGTACTAGTTTTGGCCGGCTCTAAGTGCAAGTCCCGTGGCCTGAAGCGGCTAGACCCAGAGATGTGAAGGGGATCACATTAGACCAATGAGGAAGAAACCTCACATGGGAGTCTTAAGATTGGCAGGCATCCTCGTGACTTAGGAGCTCCCAAGCCTGAGGACAGCAATAAAGTAAAACAAACAAAAGGACAGGAATAAAGAGAGGGCCTCAAGTTTCTGGGTCTTACTACCATTCTGGCTGGGGTACTAACTTCCAGCCAAAAGGCAGGCTTTTCCCTCCCCAAAGAGTCGCGAGGGGCTAGAGGATTGCAGCCTGAGCAATTGACGCGAAAGTGTTCCAGTAAGAGCCAGCACACTCCTTGAAAAGCCTCTGAAATGAACGTAAAGGCAAGAGAAGAGGAATTACTCTACTCTTCAAGTTTGCACTGAGGCTCAGAGTTCCAATGAAAAGACTTGAGCCCCACATTGGGCGCCAAAGTGATGAAATTTGGAAGAGTTTTGGGTTCAAGAGCGAATAGCTAAGAATTCTTGACATGTTTTTGGTGCAAGTGATTTTATGAAAGCATGGGGACAGGACCTGTGGGCTGGAAGAGCTGCCCCGGGATTGTGAGGAGTGACTGATTATATACTTTTAAGTTTGAGGGGGCGGGCGGAATAGAGATAAAGTAAGTTCCTAAGGAATTTTGAAGCAAGGCTTTTAGGACCTTGGGTGAGGGGCTAGCTGCTGTTAAGATAAAGTTATTTTTAGTCTTTAATAAAACATAAACATGAAGGCATTAGGGCGGCCATGAGTCACTTGAGGAGGGTCACACTGTGCATGTCTCAGGGATCTATCAGTGGGCTGCAAGCTGCACAAAGATTTAATCTAATTTAAGCTGCATTTCTCTTGCCTTTGTTCTCATGGGCTTCTAAAGGTCGTAGTAACTCCTGAGGCCCCCAAATTAGGATAGTATGTTTTAATTTCAGTAAACTAACAAGGACACTAAAAATCCTTGTGATTATTTAAAGCACATAACACCAGCTGCACCTGTGAGAAATTATCTCACAAACCTATTTTATCAAGATGGAAAGTGGTTATCAAATGAAGAAATGAATTAGGGTTATTTGTGATATATTATAGAATGGCTGAAAAGAAAAGAAAATTGGCTGAAATAAAAGAAGATAAAACTGAAACCAAGTATCTTAAATACCATCAAAAGGCAAGCAACAATAACAAAAAAGGGAAATCTATGTAGAACACTTTTTAAAACGAACTTCGAAAACTGTACAGCAGGAAATGTGCTGGAAGAAATACATTAACACGAACAGCAGAAAATAAAATATATAATAAAATGGTTCTTTGAGTAAAATAGGTTAAATTGATTTTGTTTGCCTCTAGCTAAATTTATGGACTGCAAAGTACCAAAGCTCAGAAATAGGCTTGAAGCAAAACCAATGGAAAGCAGTTTTGTTATTGAGGTGTCAGGGTCAGGTTGAAGTCCTCTTCGCAGGGGCCTGGCGCTGGGAGTTTTTCCCAGTTGTCCTGTGACCTAGAGAAAGATTGGGTTTCTGCCCTTGGCTTGGACGGGCAAGCACCTTTGCTCCACATTTTAGTGGCCAGCCAGACCCAGAGCTGGATCCAGAAGCACCCCCAGGAAACTGAAGAAACGTTATGTCCCTCTTTTAGCCTATCCATTGTGTGTTTGGTTGTGGTTTTGTTTTTGTTTTTGTTTTTTTAAATTTAAATTTAGGGTAGTTTGGCATCAATAATCATTAGATCACTAAGAAACATGTTTACTTCGTGTAAAGTGCACCAGAGATGGTACAACTGTATGTCATGCTATGAGGACATGAGAGATTTATATGAAAGGTCTTAGAAACCGTACTCTAGTATTTCTCCATATGATAGAATGCCACACTGCCGGGCGGCCCATGGGAGAGGGGGCAGCAGCTCTCACCTAGGAAACATGGTACCCGTGGTTAAATGTTTCTGTTTTCGTGTTTCTTCTGTGTGGCCATTAGCCTTCATTACAGCCGCTTCCTTTAGCTTTTTAAATTGTACCAAACATGATCCATTTGCTGTGTCAGCAAAACAAAGAATCCACTCTAGGGCAGAATCTCTGACTGATTCCCAGGGTTCTGAGTTGAACCGCTGGGGTGTAACCCAGGTGAGGGACAGCTTCATGAGGAAGAGCTTAAGCTCTTAAACTTCTTTCTGTATCATAACCTTTGAGTTCTTTGGAGCTTACCTGTGATTTATTGTTTTATTCACTTTAAAATGTATCTATATTTAACATTTATGACATTTTTCAGACACATGAATAGGAACAGGGATTGATACATACATATGTACCCAGCCCTGAGCTTAAGAAATACGTTAAAAAGGGGCACCTGGGTGGCTCAGTTGGTTAAGCGTCTGCCTTCGGCTCAGGTCATGTCCTGGGATCGAGCCCCACATTGGGCTCCCTGCTCAGTGGAACGTCTGGTTCTCCCTCTCCCTCTACCTCTCTCCCCACTCCTGCTCTCTAGCTCTCTCTCTCTCAAATAAATAAACAACATCTTTTTAAAAAAACTTCCCAAAATATCCATTGTCCATTATGGTATAGTTCATTCTCATCCATAATGTCACCTCTGACATATATCAACTTTCCATATATATATATGGTCTGTCTCTGGAATCTGCTGTTTTTACATCCCAACACCAATCCTACACTATCTTAATTTCTATATTTTTTAAAATAAGTCTTATGTTGGTAGGAAAGTCCTTCTACTTTGTTCTTTTGAAACCATCTTGTCTATTGTAATTAGTGTCCTATGCTGCTATAACAGATAACCACAAACTTAAATTAAAACAACATAAATTTATTATCTTACAGTTCATAGTTTAGAAGTCTGAGATGGGTCTCCCTGGGATAATATTAAAGTATCGGCAGGATTGCATTCCTTTCTGGAGGCCTTAAGAGAGAATCCGTGTCTTGTTCCTTCTAGCTTCTAGAGGCTTCCCACATTCTTGGCTCCATTTTCAAGGGGAGCAATATCAGGCCAAAACCTGTCTGTTTCTCCTTTTTATACTTCTTTCACTCATAAAGACACTGGTGATTGCATTGAGCCTACCCACATAATCCAGGATAATCTCTCCATTTTATAGTCAGCTCTTTAGCAACTTTAATTCTCCTTTGCCATGTAACCCAACATACATGTTCTGGGGATTAGGATGTGAACATCTTTTTTTTTTTAAGATAGGACATTTTTTTAAAAGATACTATTTATTTATTTGACAGAGAGAGAGCACAAGCAGGGGGAGCGGCAGGCAGAGGGAGAGGGAGAAGCAGGCTTCCTGCTGAGCAGGGAGCCCGATGCGGGGCTCAATCCCAGGACCCTGGGGATCATGACCCGAGCCGAAGGCAGACACTTAACTGACTGAGCCACCCAGGCGCCCCAGGATGTGAACATCTTTAAAGGGCCGTTATTCTGCCTACCAGATCTATTCTTGGCCTTATTCTCTTTCATACATATTATAGAATCAGTTTATCAAGTTCCATGAAATACTCCTTGGGATTTCAAATGGAATTATATTGAATTTGTAGATTAATTTGGATAGAACAATGTCTTTATATTATTGAGTCTTTATATTATTTGAGTCTATGCCATAAGCATATCTCTCCATTTATTTTATTCTTCTTCAGTGTCTTTCCATAAAAATATTTCATTATACTTATTCTATTTATTCCTAAGTACCGTGCTTTTTATTTATTTGCATCTTCTAGTTTTAGGGGGCCTCTGTATTAGAATGCAATTAATTTTCATATGTTGGTCTTAAATATAAGTATTTTACTGTATTTTCTTATTAATTTGCTTATAGAGTCTCTTGGGTTTCTTTGTAGATAATCATATCATCAATGAAAGTTTGGTTTTCCGGTATTTTATCTGGCAAAACTTGATCTTAC